ATTCCATCAACATATTTTGCTGTGTACAGTTAGGAATATCAGCTTTCACTTTATTCGACAAGCATCCCAAAGTCAGAATTCAAAATATCAGCAGTCAAAGCGAAATATACAAAACGTTACAAGCATTTCATTAAACATACGAAATCGAAACAAGACTCCACTATACAAAACTAATCAGTCAGACACTTTTATCATACCTACATTTGTCAATCACATTCAAAATGTCAGTTTGTAGAGAATAAACATTCCAAAACGTTTTGTAAATTCCATTGAAATAATTTCTTAATCCATATTATGTAATCATTCGATAAATAATAAACAATTTTTATTATTTGTAGTAGAATGTCTGTGACATTGAGACATTTGCTGATCACATGTACACATATTTAGTGTATGTCATAACCTACATTTAATCTTACACAAAGATATGTGATTTGTTCACTGTGTTCAATTGATGAGTATAAAAACTATACCTTCTTTCAAATAGTATATTCAAACCAAAAAGAACATTAGTGGTAAGTTGTTCAGTGATAATTTTGCGATGAATTATTGTCTATATTAGAGTGTTTGCTGACTGATCTGTCCATACAGATTTTCATGTACAAATTTAAATCGTATTGAGATACCATCTAACATTATTTCAACTCTAGAAATGATATCACAAATCTTCAAATTGAATATTATTATCGTGATCCTATGGACATGCAACACAATGAAGGTGGAATCAGGGACATTTATAGTACCTATTAGATTTTATGCGACAGGTAAAAGTGTATTTTATTTTTTTAAATACAATTATTACTATTATTATTCCTACTATCATTATCGTCATTCTAATTATTGTGGTAATTACAATTGTTATTCGCAAAGGTAGTACTAGTACAACATCAGTCGAATCTCTTCTGCAAACTTTGTATACACAAATACACATTTCAATGATGCTCACTACGCTAATCTTCCGAGTAATAGAAGAAGAGTAAAAGTTATTCCGTTTCATTAACTGTTCCATCTCATGCTATCACTGTCGTCTTCTGAATATTTTTATTTTACTCTAGGAGGAATGTATGTTACAGTAGATGGAATGAATACTTCAATCGATGATGATTACACATTAACAATGGAAAATGGAAATTGCACTAAAACAATTTCTTTAACACCACCGACTGCAGAAGAAATGTCCACTGGAACTGGATTTCGGGCAGTTACCTAGTAAGTTATTAAAATGACAGTGTCGATTTGTGCAGTGAATGGATAAATGCATTCACTTCGAAGTTATGATAAAGTAGTTTATCAAATCAAAGCACAAACTGATAATGTGGATAAGTTGAACCACTCTAAGTACACGTTTAATGCAGTTCAAAGTGTGAATTATTCATTCACCTGGATTTCATTGAATATATTAGTGAGAGCGTCAACGTCCTCTGTCACAACACATTGAATAATTTTATACGAAATGCAATTTATTGAGGGATATGACTCAATGCGGTTGGTTGATCATCAGTGCAATGAGAAATCGATATTTCCAAAATGACTTTCAAAATATGTCACGAGTGTCAGGATCATGAAGAAACAACTCTGTGAACGTTGCACTTCCAAACACAAATATCAGTACTGCATCTTCGTACGATCGAAGCCTCCATGAAACAGTTCATATGGTTAGATATGAAGCCAATGAAAAATTGTTACTTTTACTAAAAACCTCACTCTTCCATTGCCAGCATTCATACTAAATTTCTGTGTATGTTTTCGTACAATTTTAGCTTGTGCATCCCATAATTATCGTGGCATCTGCAAAATATAATCAACGAATACTGAATAATTATAATATGATTATGTAAAACATGAATTGTATTCACTGGAAAAGTGTGTGTGTTTAATTATCTTAGTTGCGTATATGATAGATTTTCAATTACGCTCAGTAAAATAAATTGTAATAAATTGTTGTCTTCCGGTTCTTCCCTTCTTCAATCTTATTTGCATGATCGGCAGAGATCCGTTCATTGCGATAGTGTTCGTTGTGGTTAATTACCTCAATCAATGTTGACGTTAATGCCTCGTTGATTCCTTCCCAGTTGTTCTACATGTTTGTTTCAGTTAAATTGTGCGATTGATGATAGGCTTGGAACCTGTTGAGTTTGCCTGTGTCCTTCAACTTTAATGAAACTGTCCGATCCGTTGTCCAATGCTCTTCAAATCTGTCTACCATTTAGTCCACCACTATGTGATCTGAAACTGTTAGCTCCCCTCTTCGTTCTCACATTCTCCACGGTCCTTCTGAACATTGTTTTGAAGGAGTTGTAGAAGATGTGGTTCTGTGTAGTGTGATCCGTTAAACCAATGTGGAATTGTGTAAGCGTTTGTGTGGGATTACGGTGCGCCAGAGACCAGTTTGTTAAAGACGCATAGGTTTGCAAATCTCTCACCATTTTCACTGTTTCCCTGCAGCACATGTCGTTGCGCGATGTCTTCTAATCCGATGTTGTCCATTCAAACCGTTATAAAGTCCAATGTTGTGGATTTTCAGTGATTACGTTCGGAATTACTGTCAGTCATTTAGTACGTTTGCGGTAATGTATTCAGAACGTAGTAATGTTCAGAACGTCATGAAACTGTTGTGAGTCTAAATGTATTTTTTCGGTAGGCTCGCCTATATTAAATAAGAATAAACTAGGTAAGAACCTAGAAAGCTCGCTGTTTAGACACAAACTGCACTGGATATAACATGTAATCTGATGAAATCAGTGTAATGGCCTTAAAAATTAGCAATTTCTGAGGAAACTATTCCAGGTGAAAAGAAATCTTACCATTTTCAGATTTCGGCTTGATTCAGCACACGATGTCTTGGATTTACTGATAAGCCGTTATGTCTATTGATTTCTGATTGACCTGAAAAGAATTGTCAACTAGGATCCACAAACACATCAACATCGACCCAACTTATCTACAAATCAGAAAATCCATAGGCAAACATGGGATTGAGAAAAAGATAGACAGATCGGGAAATACGATCAAAATAAAGATGCTAACAACGACAGGTTTAAGAACAATAACAACTAATCAAGATTGAGGTTTAGAGAAAAATTCACTTTCATCTAAAGTTTGTTCTGACGATGTTGTTGTTAGTTACAATGGAAGCTCCATAAACGAAACATCCATCTATGAAAACGATGCTATACCCCAATTATCAACCTGAGCTACAAATTTTCTCCACTATCTCACAACCTGTTGTTTGAGAGAACAAACTAGAATAACGGCGAGGAAGAAATCAAGAAGACGCTTTGTGTGTTGAATGGACACACATTGAGGAAAGCACTCAAATGCTTCACCAAACAGGCACTCACCTGTCATCCTCGAGACCAGAAAACACGGTACGCCGAGGGATACAGAAAGACATTAGAAGAATGAACAGAAATGAGATAGAACTGGGATGGAAGACCCTGTAGAGTGTAGGTCGGAGAATACAGGTTGGCGGGTTCGCATTGATAGGGGTAATAGGCGTAGGCAGGTCGGTAGTTCGTTCAGTTATTTCACGATCGTTCGTGCACATTCAACTCGCTACATTTTTATTCATAATCAATAGTTTTGCTTACATAAACATTTGTGATTGGTTAATTGTTCAATTCATGAGTATAAATTAGCATGTTCATCAAAATAATTTATTCAAACACAATAGAACATTAGGAGTAAGTTGTTCAGTTGAGCATTTTTGATGAAACATTGTATATAATAGAGTGTTTGTGAATAAGACTTTCCATCCATTTACTTAACTTCATCAAAGGTCAAGAGATTTTGAGCTTAATTAACTTACAAAATTATTCTCGATTGTAAGCATGCTATAAGTCTTTATTATTTATGTGATATGTATTGTAACCTACTCACTCAGCACCAATTCAATTGATCAATTCAAGAGTAGAACAACACATAAATGATTTTCTTGACACTTGAATCTGTGTATATATGAAAATGTGAAAGCTATCAAGGTGATTTCTAAGTCAGTGATCATAATGAAACATATTGCATAATTCAATCGTAGATCACATACATTAATCCATTGAAAATCATCACCAAATAAATGCTGAAATGTGAAATAGAGCGATGCACTAGGGTAGATACATTGAAATCGTTTGAGCTAGTTGACAATATTGTACTGATATTCAATCATGAAAGTAGAAAATATTGACGTAGTCGTTATTGGAAGTATGTTTAAATACAAGACAGGTAGAGCACAAAGTTAAATAAGTACATCAAGATTGACCATATTTATCATTTGGTCAGAATAATCATTGGCAAACATAGGATCAGAAGCAGAATAAATGGTGATAAAATCAAATTAAATATGCAGACAATATCAGTTTCGATGTCATTAACAACCATTTAAGATAGAGTTCCGCAGAACGAGCTAAGAGATTGACGGCGATAAATTCAAATACTTCACTTCTATCCGACCTTTGTGCTGGTGATGTTTTGCAAAAGAAGAACAATGAAAACTCCAAAATCAAAACATGCGTCTTAGAGAGCTGAATTCCGCCACAACAGATTATTCTTTATTGTATCACTTCAACTGACATTCACTGTCAAGCGTGGACAACTGTTGGTAAGCTCTCGTACTTCGGGATGGACGGCCTGAGCAGATAATGACGGACATAATTCTGATTTCGTGAATGGAAGACAGCCCACACATTTGCTCAAAGTAAAGACCGTTTTAGGGCGAGGTTGCTTGGTTTCACTTTTTCTCTTCTCACCGATGGTCGACTAAATTTTGAAGATGTCAATGTATGAGTGGAAGCACGGAATAAAATGAAAAGCTTTGATTCAGCTGAATGAATTTTACTTTGTAAATAATCTGTCTAATCTCTTCCACACTCAAATGCAAATGCAAGAGGAAACGACCAATATAGCACAAACCTCATCAGCAGTCGATCTCAACATACACACACTAGCGAACAAGCCAGATTAAAGAAGAGGAAGAAATGAGAACAATGCGCTGAAATTGGACAGAACACACATTGAAGAAAGCACCTAACTGAGTTGAAAACAAGAACCCACCCTTGAACTTTTAAAGGCTGAAGGAAAAATGAATTCCAAGTTATATATAACGCCAAGAAAGAGAGACAGGTTTGAGATGAATGAACAGAAAATAGAATAGAAATGAAAGAAAGACTCAAAGTAGAATAGATTAGAGAATGCTGTTTAGCGGCTTGTGCATCTCTGAACGAAAGCAAGTCAGTGATCAGTGCTTAGTCATGCCCCATTACGTTGGGTTAGATTGCTCGCCTACTCCATTACCACTGTCTCTGTTTGTGTGCTTTTCATTATCATGTTTGTCTGTATGAGCTATGGCTTAAATTGAAGTTATCCAAACGAATCTGTCTTCGGCTTCTAGGTTCCGCCATCGCACATAAGATGTTATCTTAAATATGATGTAAGGAAACTGAAACGGAGGTTTATTTCGTAGGATATTCAATGGTCCCAACAAACTTCATCAGCCACCACTAAAATAGTGAGCCCTAGTTTGAGTGCGACACAGCCCCAAAAGTGGTGATCCCTACATAATATCCAACGCAGCCACATTGCTCATAGATTATTTGCTACGCCACCAATTCAAACAGTGGTATATTATAAACGACTATAATCATAACAGCAGTAGCAAAAGTAATAAGAGGAGTCGTAATGGTATCAGTTGTAATGGTCGAAGAATTAGTAGTAGTATTAAAGGTAGTAGTAGTAGTAGTAGTAGTAGTAGTGTGGTGCGCGCTACTTATAAGTAGTATATGACGTCAGTGTCAACGTAATGTCTGGCAGCAGAAGATAGGGGAAGATCAAGAAAGGAAGAGTGGAAACACAATGGAATTTGTATGAAACGCATGAATAGTGACAATGGATTGATGTTTTGTAACAGGAACAGTCCAGTTCGATATGATGGACTGATATTTTGCAAATAAACGATTTACAATATGGTTTTCCGATTTTACTGAGTAACTCTGTAATTTTCGCTAAAAACAATTTGGTTGTCCTCACCTGTGTTTTTCTTCACAACAGTAGTAGTTGTTGTTGTAGTAGTAGCAGTATTGGTGTTAGTAGTAGTAGTACCAGTAGTTAAATAAGTATATTAGTAGTAGCAGCAATAGTAGTATTACTAGTACTATCAACAGTAGTATTAGTAGTAATAGTGGTAATATTAGTGCTAGTAGTATAAGTTATAGATTTATTAGTAGCAGTAGTAGTATTGGGGATAACAAAGAATTTCTGATTTTCTATAACTCTCAGCACCTGTGGATGTCGTTTCCGATCGTCATAACGTAACCATTGGCAGAAAACATGCACGTCTAAGTTTTAATACGCCGAATTCCTTACATGATTGTGGTACTAATTTTACCATTACTGTCAACAGTATTATTATTATTACTGCCAAATATTCCACTACCATTGATGTCAGTCAGATAAATATCATACGAAATCGAGCATGATATTTAGTTGTATACCATGTAAGAAAACAACTGTGAAACGGAATGATAGTTACACAGAAAACAACGACATTTTGATTTGCTTTGCACGTCATTCATATGAGGTATGCCTTGTTGAAGTGCAAACACTACTTTGAAGGCGGTACTCTAGCTGCATTTAGCAGCGCAGGAACTTCAGAAAAATATTAGAAACTTTGTAGACCAGAACACTTTGCATCGCCAACAAGATGGTTCCTTGCAGTACCTCTTACGTGTAGCTGATTTGAGTCCTATGAATTTCTTCTGATACCACTCAATGCATTTGTTACATTTCATTCTATCCTACACAGAAATTAAGATCATAAGTTTTTCAAAACGATATATTACTTGTGCCATTCAGATTTGTAGTGACTTTACGTTAACGAAG